CCAGAGGTTGTTTTAGGGTTCAATCTGTGAGTTAGCCATGCCCTGACTTAGATCAGCCCAGAGGTTGTTTTGGGGTTTAATCTGTGAGTTAGCTGTGCCCTGACTTAAATCAGCCCAGACAAAAAGTAATAATTATTTATGTGAATAAATATTTATCTTACCTGTGATGCTTCTTCAATAGTACATGGATGGGTACCATCAATAATCCCATCACGACACTGTAAAAGATATATCAGCATTTCAGCAGCAGTATCATTAAAATGGGAACTTTATGTTTGTGGGAATTTAGAAGTGAGCTTCCTAGGTCCTTTAGAAGTGTAGGAATCTGACTCCAAGGGCTGTTAAAATCATCCATAATGCAGGACCTACTCGTTCTGTGCAATATAGATGCATAGGCAGTGGATGAAAGAAGTATTTTGATTGGTTGATAGCAAGCCAATCATACTGTACCTGGACATAGAGAAGGTTCAACTGGACGGGATCTTTGATGTCAACATTTTGATCTGAATAGAAATATTTTCTCCTAAAAATAAAATGAAGCAATATTAAACTAATAGATTATCTCTCATAATATTAAAATGTGGTGATAGTTCACAGATTGCACCCAAGAGATCATTTTACTTGTTACAATAACTTACACATTTCTAGCGCACTGATTGATTATTTTTTATCATCAATAAAAGGACAGAAAGATAAAGCGGATGTCAACGAGCGCGCTCCCTTTCTGTTGGTTGTTTTGTTCGCTAGAAATGAGAAGTTATTATCTTTTTACTTATTGTAAAATACAAATAGACATCAGTTTTTTTATGTGTCTGTCCTCTTATTGATCATAAATTTTGTTATCACATTGTGAAAATAGTATGTGTATCCACACTTAAAGAAAAAGACAAGAATTAACACTCAAGGAAAAGAAGTTTCATACCTCATTACGACAGTGTCTGTATCACTGACTCCTAGCTCACGTAAGGTCTTGTCATGATCAAGCCATTGAACTGCAGATAAAATAAATCCAAAGCAATGAAATAGTCAACATTTATCTTATGGTCTACCAGTATTGCGAGCACAAGGAAGGCACAAATAAAATGCATGCCTGCAAAAGACCGGAGGCAATTGATTTGATACTGCCGCATCTTTGCTGCCTCAAGTTATACAGCCATAGTGTACATAATTGAAGTCTACAACTGTGCATGACCATTTATTAGAGCAAAAATGAATAAAAATAAATAAAAAAAATTCCTTGTTTTACAAGGGTAACACTAAATAACCACTGGCAAACAAATTTGTGGCTTTCGTTTAATGATCGAATTGGAATTTAGGAGTTGACTTTTGAGGAGGAAGGAAAAGCATAGAACCCGGAGAAAAACCCTCGAAGCACAGGAGAGAACCAACAAACAACTCTACTCACATACAACACCAAGCCTGATGGGACCTGGGTAGCATTGATGAGAGGCAAGCGCTCTCACTGCTATATATACCACCTGTGCTTCCCAAAAATCAGGGTTAAGTTTGAGATATACATCAAAAACTAGACAGCCCTACCATCATCTTCTGTGTGGAGTTTCTTTTTCAGCTGTTCCATCTTTTTTCTATCTCTTTCTTCCATTCTCTTGATTGGAACGTCTTTCATCGATTTGTCCTGGAACAAAAGATAAGAACAATGTAAAAGCTGCAGTCTTAAAATGAAAAAAATGCAACCTTTTGCCCATTTATTTCACTTTTCCTAGTCATTCAGATTTCTTTCTTGCTCCCTTTTCAAAGTTGTGCAATACAAGTTGCCATAATGAATACTTTCATTGATGGAAATTTTGGATTTTTTAGAGAAATAAACATTTCAAACTCTTGTGTATACCATGCAATTTATGTACAACAATCCTTTGTTAGATAATAGAGACTTTACAATTTGCAAAATCTACGACGGCAACGTCCAACGGAAGTGTAAATAACTTTTCTTTGGGGTTCTGTTCATTGGAGGTTTCATTCAAAACATTGTCAGTAAAGTCAACTCATCCACAGGAAACACAGACTTTGAAGATGCCCAGACCCYAAAGTTAAGTTATTTACACTTCCGGTAGACGTCGCCGTCATAGATTTTGCAAATCTCAAAGTCCCTAACACCCAAGCTAGACCAGAATGCAACTCATATTCAGATGACTTACTGGTACCCAAGCTAGACCAGAATGCATCTCATATTCAGATGACATGCTGATACTCAAGCTACACCAGAATGCAACTCATATTCAGAT